CTGACTAAATACTTTTTTGCCCGTGTGTGTATATATATATATATACACACGGGCAAAAAAGTATTTAGTCAGCCACCAATTGTGCAAGTTCTCCCACTTAAAAAGATGAGAGGCCTGTAATTGCCATCATAGGTAGACCTCAACTATGAGACAAAATGAGAAGACAAATCACATTGGCTGATTTGGAACGAATTTGCAAATTATGGAGGAAAATAAGTAGTTGGTCAATATCAAAAGGTTATCTCAATACTTTGTTTTATATCCTTTTTTGGCAATGACAGGAGGTCAAACGTGTCCTGTACGTCTTCACAAGGTTGGCACACACTGTTGCTGGTATGTTGGTCCATTCCTCCATGCAGATCTCCTCTAAAGCAGTGATGTTTTGGGGCTGTCGCTGGGCAACACGGACTTTCAACTCCCTCCAAAAGGTTTTCTATGGGGTTGAGATCTGGAGACTGGCTAGGCCACTCCAGGACCTTGAAATGCTTCTTACGAAGCCACTCCTTCGTTGCCCGGGCCGGTATGTTTGGGATCATTGTCATGTTGAAAGACCCAGCCACGTTTCATCTTAAATGCCCTTGCTAATGGAAGGAGGTTTGCACTCAAAATCTCACGATACATGGCCCCATTCATTCTGTACTGTACACGGATCAGTCGCCCTGGTCCCTTTGCAGAGAAACAGCCCCAAAGCATGATGTTGCCACCCCCATGCTTCACAGTAGGTATGGTGTTCTTTGGATGCAACTCAGCATTCTCTCTCCTCCAAACACGACGAGTTGTGTTTCTACCAAATAGTTCTATTTTGGTTTCATCTGACCATATGACATTCTCCCAATCCTCTTCTGGATCATCCAAATGCTCTCTAGCAAACTTCAGACGGGCCCGGACATGTACTGGCTTAAGCAGGGGGACACGTCTGGCACTGCAGGATCTGAGTCCCTGGCGGCGTAGTGTGTTACTGATGGTAGCCTTTGTTACGTTGGTCCCAGCTCTCTGCAGGTCATTCACTAGGTCCCCCCGTGTGGTCCTGGGATTTTTGCTCACCGTTCTTGTGATCATTTTGACCCCACGGGGTGAGATCTTGCGTGGAGCCCCAGATCGAGGGAGATTATCAGTGGTCTTGTATGTCTTCCATTTTCTAATTATTGCTCCCACAGTTGATTTGTTCACACCAAGCTGCTTGCCTATTGCAGATTCAGTCTTCCCAGCCTGGTGCAGGTCTACAATTTTGTTTCTGGTGTCCTTCGACAGCTCTTTGGTCTTCACCATAGTGGAGTTTGGAGTGTGACTGTTTGAGGTTGTGGACAGGTGTCTTTTATACTGATAACAAGTTCAAACAGGTGCCATTGATACAGGTAATGAGTGCAGGACAGAGGAGCCTCTTAAAGAAGAAGGTACAGCTCTGTGAGAGCCAGAACTCTTACTTGTTTGTAGGTGACCAAATACTTATTTTCCACCATAATTTGCAAATAAATTTGTTCCAAATCAGCCAATGTGATTTGTCTGGATTTGTTTTCTCATTTTGTCTCTCATAGTTGAGGTCTACCTATGATGCCAATTACAGGCCTCTCATCTTTTTAAGTGGGAGAACTTGCACAATTGGTGGCTGACTAAATACTTTTTTGCCCCACCCACATATACATATACATATGCCCTATGTATAGGGCTCTGTGTGATCCCAACTCTGAAAAGAAAAAAGTACATGTCATAACCAAACATCTATGTTATGATAATAACCAGTGCAATCATACTTGTCATAGTGACATTAGAAAAGTGTCTAATAATATGAAAAAGTGTGTTATGTGTTCAACATTGTCTGTATAAATAGAGTGAATTGATCCTCTTCTAGGGATGTGTTGTCCAAGTAATCGAATGGTCAATTTGTTTTGAAATTTTCTCTTGTGTGTTACAAAATTTTTTGTGTAATTTTTAGTGAGAGACTGTAATCCCAATTGTGGCTTGGGGTTAGCGCTTATGGTACTGAAAATTAACCCCCGAGCCACACTCGGGAATACCGCCATGGATGTTAGTGGGTGCATTTAAACATTATTTTGGGCTAAACTCGTCTTAGACGAGTATAGCCCAAAACCTATATTTTAAACACAAAAAGTAGGGGGTCGTCTTATACGCCGAGTCGTCTTATGCGCCGGCAAATACTGTACACAAATACTGTAAAAGACAATTTCATAAAAATAAAGAGCAAAAACACTCCACCTCATCACAATCATCACCTATTCAAAGAGAGTTTCCAGTTGGATCTCCTAGATCAGGGGTGGCAAACTCAAATTCATCGGGGGCCGCATCAGCAGTATGGTTACCCTCAAAGGGCCGGTTGTATAGGACTATGCATCTACTCTTTAATCGCCCTCTAGTGTCTACTGTGTGGTAGTGCCGGCTCTGCTAGGTACCACACAGTAGACACTGCTCTGCACAGAGTCGGCATAGCGGACCGGCCCTGGCTGCTGTGCGGGCCACATTACAAGGTCCGGCGGGCCGGATTCGGCCCACGGGCCTTGTGTTTGCCACCCCTGTCCTAGATCAAAGGGCCTATGTATGCCCATTTCCAACATCTCCGCAACTGGCTGTATATATATGCATCTATATCTCCCTTCCCGATAGTTTTATCAATTGAGGTACACCTACCTATCAGGTTCTGGTCATGGAGCAAGGGGTAATATGGATATGAACGATCCGATCAGTTCGGTCACAAACAGTAGCCCGCAGCCGCCTTGATGTCTCCCACTCACAGGCTAACACCTTAGCCTCCTATGCCTGCTAAACACCACCTCCCTCCCCCTAAATAGCCCCCACCGCCGACAGAACGCTCCACCCCTGGGTGTATTAGGACGTCCGTCGGCGGTGTGGACTCCATCTGCGCCTGCGCATTGCACTGGCGTCCCGCCGCCACTATGGCAACTAGGGACGTCAGCAGTGTAGCCAGCCGGAGGTTGCCCGTGGGGTCCACCTCCGGCGTGAATTCAATCTGCGCCTGCGCCATGGTACCGCGCCTGCGCATTGTGCTCCCGTCCCGCAGCCGCTAAGGCAACCAGGGACAACAGTTTTAAAGCAAGCCCTGGAGGGCTTGCAGTGTTTCTTTTCATTAAACCAAGGGCATCTTTTTGGTTTGTGTGTTCTCCTGGCTTTTGGATATCTATACAGGGTATGAACAGCTACCTGCTATGATGGAATCCATAGGTCCAGTGTCCAGTCTGCTCCACTCCACCAAAACAGGTCTATGGATGTTGAAGCATAAGAAAACTACAAGATAGGCATAGGCAGTTCTGTCTTCCTGCGCATACCCGTAATCCTTCCCTCCGACTGTGGCCCCGAGGTCCCCGGGACAAAAACTGGGCGGAGTGTTTGTCGGTTGGTGAGAATGGTGGTGGGACTCTCTCCGTTTGGTATAGGTATTGGTATTCTATGCAATTCAAATAGACCTACTAGTGAATTGTTGATATGTATTGATTAAATATATTGTTTCTCGTTAGATCAGTTTACAATCCCCTGATGAAGCCAAGTTGTGAAACGTGTAAGGGATTGGACACACTGAATGTATCGATCTATAATGGATATGTATAGTATGCTAAATGGGTCTATGCTCCTGGTTTAAACCTGTTTTAAACCTATCGCAACTGGTTGTTGCTTTTTATATGTATATTTATGGCAAATGTGAAATAAAAATTTATTTTTTACGAAATTCCAGCCACAAAAAGGCAAAATTTAAAATTATTGGTCATTATTAACAATAGTTTTATCTTTTAGATTTGGTCGGAAAAGTATTTTTTGTTTTGTGCACCGATACTGATTTTAGTGTGCTTTTATTAATTTCATTGTGTATTTTTAATCGGTTTAATATTGATTTGACAAACATACGCACAATTATACACAGGGCCTCCAAAATTAGTAGCACCATCTTTTTATTCTACCGGGCATGTGCTTTCAGAAAATATATGGCTTGAGAGATATTTTACACACGCTAGCAAAGCAACAGTAAAAGAATCAAAACCATAGGAAAAAAAATTCCAAAAATGGTGTGGGCAACGGAAGTTAAAAGTGTTCCGGTAGGCTTGGCAGTGAAAGGTTTAATTTACACTTTAACCCTCCCGCCCAAATTCCCCATTTCAGCAGGAGAGCAATGGGAGAAAGAGGATTACTGGATACAAAAGGTGTGTGTGTATAGAGTCCAAAAAAATAACCTCTTTACATAATTGTCAGTTCTGTTACCTTACCTCAGCTTAAAAGCGCAAATCCGCTTCTTCCGGAAACGCTGCTCTAGAGTCGGCACATGCACAGTTGGTCTCTTACTTTGTCATTTAGAAAGTCCTTGCAACCAGCCAGCCTTTAGAATGGAGTAACAACATTGGGAAAGAACATCCTAAGAAATAAAAAATAAAAAAATTATTGAATGCAGAACTAAAATTTCAATCCCCCAAAGAATCTTTTTAAAGGTTATCAGTGCAGAACTGTACCCATAACTATATCCAGTAATTGTGGGTATATATCCCCTCTATAATCTAAACATACTAACATATACTCTTATTCAATTAAAATTTGCATGAGGTCTTTGCTTTCACTTATTTGTTGCCTTCTCCTCTCTACCAACTTGGCAAATCCTGCTGTTGACACTACAGGCTAGAAAAGTGTTTTGGTGCTCCACTGATTCTGTCAATAATTTGCATGTGCCAAGAGAATCATGGTGATCATTGTTTCCAGATTGGTGCATGCACCTGGCATAGGTATATTCCTAGGGTCATTGCTGTAAACAGCAGTTGTGTCAAAAAGGAACAGCAGAGCCCCAGAACACTCTCTTGGCCTACACTATAACCTATCCAGTAGCATTAGAAAAAAGAAAATATTTGTTTCCAGCCATAAAAATAGACCTATTTACAAAGAGACTAAATGGGTGACAGGTGGAGCATCAGGTGAGGTGAAGGTTTAGTTGCCCATTAACAAGGACCTTCCACTCTCATCACATACCAGTTAGGAAGGTCCTCTATGAAGTGAAATCCAGTCCCGCCTCGACTTCTTTAGTGGAGAACACTCAGCCAAAGAGCAAGGGAAGTGAGGTTGGAGAGGAGAAGTGATCAGCTATGTGGGAGCTCTCAGTATTTGGGGGGAACCACTGGGAGACAGTGCCTCGCCACCTTCGTCCAATTCACAACGCTGTAGGTGGAGCAGGCGAGTTGGGGTGCAGGTTGGATTGTAGGGGTGTCGTAACAGACCCGGGGTAGTCAGATTGGTATTTTATAAGCCCCGCCCTCTTTCGTACCTCTCATTGCCTTTCCCTCGGGTCGGTAACCACGAAGTTCAGCATTGATTACCACCAACTGCACAAACAAGCCACTTCCTGTACGTGTGCACGGTCGCTCCCTGTACTGCGCAAACGATCTTACAGCCGACTCTGAGGTATCCAGTGCCATACACAACATGGCGCCGGGACCTTACTAAATCTATTGCGCATGCGGCCACCATCCAAGCACAGCGCATGTATGTGGCGCCGGTGATCGATCAAAACTACGAACTTATCGAGTTGTGGGACCGCATTACTTCCGGTTTCCTCAGAACTACGAGGTTTTTACACAAAACATGTTGTGCACGAGCGCCATCCACGGCATTGCCCTATAGACATAGACCACAGCAATAAAGTAATAAAATGATGTAGGATGACAGTAAGCCAGCGCGTTCTTTATCTCAGGTGCCCCACTCAAGCGGCGGCCATATTGAGTGGGGCACCGGAGATAAAGAACGTGCTGGCTTACTGTCATCCTACATCATTTTATTACTTTATTGCTGTGGTCTATGTCTATAGGGCAATGCCGTGGATGGCGCTCGTGCACAACATGTTTTGTGTAAAAACCTCGTAGTTCTGAGGAAACCGGAAGTAATGCGGTCCCACAACTCGATAAGTTCGCACTTTCGACACATCACCGGGATCAATAAGCCGTTCGATATCTCCGCCCATAACTTGACTTCCTTTCCGCTGCAAAAATAAATAAATAGAATAGAGTGGAGAATAAGACAGCGTGGTCACGGCTCTTTTTTCCTACAATGTGACAACGCTAATGGTCTCCTACAAAATGGCGTTCGCAGCACACTGTTTTATCTGTAATTTTTCTTCAGTTTTTGCCGCTCTATGGTTGCATGCCTGCGTCTTCTGAGAGATAGAATTGGCGATTGTTAAGGACGCCAGTACCAAGTAGTGCCAATGGTGTTGATAACTGCCCTGGCTCTTTATTTTTCTCCTCTATTTGATTTTTTCAGCCAAAGAATGTCAGGTTCTTTAAAGGAGAACTATGGGGTCAGTGTTTTTCCCCATAGTTCTCCTTAGGGTAACGGGAGGACACAAACTAGCGTCCTCCCGTTACCTTAAGCTCAGTATACCGCGAGCTACAGCTCGCGGTATACTGAGACGCGGCAGCCGGAGCGGATCCAGACGTAGATGACGGGATCCGCCCTGCTGCGTGAGTGACAGCTGGCTCTGCTGTGACAGGATCGGAAGGTGAGCGAACCTGGTATGTGTTCGCTCACCTCCCGATCTACTGAGCCGACCTGTGACCTCCCAATCTACTGAGCCGACCTGTGGCAGTCTCATTGTCACAGGTCGGCTAGAACTATGAGGTGAGTGGAAATCACTCATCTCATAGTTCTCCTTTAACCAGTTGAAGTCGGGAGTGTTAAACCCCCTTCCCCCCATCCAGGCCATTTTTCAGTATTCAGCGCTGCGGTACTTTGACATTTATTCCGTCATGCAACGCTGTACTGAAATTAATTTTATACCCTTTTTTGGGGACAGAGAGAGCTTTCTTTTGGTGGTGTTTTAATTTTAATTGTTTTCATTTTTTACTATATTAAGGAAAATTTACAGAAATTGTTTTTAAAAAAAACTTTCCCCTATATTAAATTATTAATATTATTCTAAAACATTTATTATTACCCAATTTTTGGGTAAAATATAAAAGACAGGGTCATGTCGGGTAAAAAGACACCAAACATGTCAAGCCTTAAAATTGCGCACGCGCTCGAAACCTCAAAAAAACTACATTACCCAAAATTGCCCATAGGTGACGCTTTAAAAGCTTTTACCGCTCATCAGTTTAGTGTTATCAGTGATTGATGGCCCTAAAATTATTACTCTCACTCTGACGTTCGCGGCAATATGTAACATGTGTAGCGCAATTGTCGTTTTCGCGCGCTGACACATCGTTTTACGTTTATATGTGCGTAAACGAAGGGGGGGGACTTAACATTTTGGGGGGGTTGTTTTACTTTTTTTATTTGTGACTTTAATTTTTTTTACTTTTTGTATTAATATTTTATTAATTTTGATTAATTCATCAGCTTCTTCTCTCTGGCATTAGCAGCCAGATGACTGACAGGTGAATGCGGAAGTGATGTAATACACATCACTTCTGCATTCACAGCACGGATCAGCAAGGAGCTGATCTCCCTCCCTCTTCCTCCTCGCCCTCCCGAGCCGGTCCCAGGGGTGGTGGATCCAGGGATTGAAGGTGAGGGGTCAGGAGGGGGGCTACGGCACTCAAGGGGGGGACAAAATCGCGCCATACCACCGATCGGCGGCTATAGAGCCGCTGATTGGTTGTATGTGAAACAAATGTGTAAAACAAGCGGGTCTTCCCTGCCCCTAGGGGGCGCGCGAGCAGGAAAAAAATGCCGCCTGGAGACGTCAACCCGCTGATGCGAGTTTGCCGTCTGTCCGCTTTTTCTTAACGGGCGGACGGCAGGAGGTTAAAAGCTACCTGGCATTCTTTGGCTGACATTCTTTGGCAATTAAAAGGTAATTCCACTTTCACAGGTGAATTTGGGAAAATGGAATTACCCCCTCCCATCTGGTCAAGTGGGCAACAATTATTTTGGGGGCCCACTCCCATGGGATTGCTGCAGTCCAATTTCTCTCTCGCCACCCCCTTTTTCCCATTTTCCCTCTGTTTCCCCACCCCTTTTCTATTTTAGGTACTGTGTCTTTAAGAAATACCTGATGATGGTTTCTGCAAGAAATCCTCAGCTCGTGTCTCTTCTAGAAGATTCTTCCTCCGTTCCTGCACCTATATAAAGGAGAGCCCCAGGGAGAGCTGTCACTCGGCTGGACTCTACACAGCGAGCTCCCCGCCCTATTTTCTTTATTTGTCGTGGCTCCTCTTATGTGGTTTGTCACTTCTTTTTTGGAGGGGACTTGTTGGTATCAGGTTTATTTATATTATTGCTCGAGTAATGGCTAAGCAATTTATGGTGGGTTTACTTGGTGGTTTTAATTTGGATATCAGCTTCCTTAAATATTTTGAGGGGAATTTATCAAAATTGGAGCAGCTGTGCACAGCAACCAATCAGCTTCTCTCTTTCGTTTTTAAATATTTAGGCCCGGTTCACACCTGGGTGTTTTGTAGCGCGTTCCTACACTCTGCAAAACGCACAAACACCGAAATCCCATTATTTCCTATGGGTGTGGTTCACACCTGGGCGTATTACAGAAGTACAGGAGCTTCTTGGGGGCGTATTTGCCACGCGTATCCATTGGGATACAGCCAGGTAGCCCTCAGAAACACGCGTTTGTCGCACTTTTTTTCACCGCAAATCGCTGTAAAAACGCGCGACGAACTCATTTTCGATAAGCCTAGGTGTGAACCCAGCCTTAGAGCCGCAGCACACCTAGGCTACACCGCACTGCGTGGCAATTGTGCATGATTCCGCGCAGTCAGGAGTCGCCTAGGTGTGCACCGATCGCGGTGTGGGTGCCATTATTTCCCAAGAGCGCCCCGGTCCCACCGGCCACGATTCTGAGCGTGATATAAAATACCGCACAATACGACTGGGGTGCCATTGGAAAATAATGGCACCCACAGTGCGATCAGTGCACACCTGGGCGACTCCTGACAGCACGGAATCGTGCACGATTGCTGCGCAGTGGGGTGTTATCTAGGTGTGCACCGGCCCTAAGTGAATAAACTGAAGAGAAGAGCTGATTGGTTGTCATGAACAGCTGCTCCAGATTTTGTCTGCCCCAGTTTTGATTAATTAAACTCAGAGGGGGGAATTTAACCAATAAAGATGTTGCGGCCATTTGGAATCCAAGCTGGTGTCAACTGTGTTTATTTATTATTAAGGTGCCCACACACCTTGCGATTATTGTCCGATAATCGCAGGAAACCCCCGCGATCGTACGATTATCGCAAGATGTGTGGAAGGCGTGTGACCTCTGCTACTGTAAGGTCGCACAACTTTTATCTTAGGAACATGTTTGAAAAACCGCCGAGAATCGTACGATTGTCGGCGGGTGTGTGGCATGTTCGTAAGATAAATGCCGCACGGGCTGTTGTGCGCAAGCGCACACTGCCCGTTCAGCATTGCGGTCATCGGAAG